TTATAAAAAATTAAAATATTTTAATAATTAAAATATTAGTATAATAATACAAAATTTTAACTATTTTTAATAAATCAACACTAAAAAATTTTATTAAATAATTTTACAAATAATCCTAACATTTTTAGTTTTCTATTAAAATTATGTCATAATGATTTGTTTGGTATACAATTGTTCTCACCTCTCGTACGGAGTTGAAGGGCAATAACAAAGAAAATAAATTAAATCTCTAATTTAGTCTTTCAATTATTGTACGAATTTTAAATTTAGATTCTAAACTAAAAAAAATTTTGATTTGATTCATACTGTTTACTAATTTGATAATTTGACCAAAAATTGATTTTTTTGTACAAAAATAGATAACATATCTCATTATTAATGTGATACTTGGTAGTTAATTAATGGTTTCTATCATTAAATAATGATATGTCAACTGTTTTTTAACGGAATGATCAACTTGAGATTAAATTAGTAAATAATAAAGACTAAATTAGTGGATTGTACAATAGTTAAGAGACCAAATTGAAGGTTTTTTTAGTTTATGAACCAAATCAAGATCCATACAATAATTGGGAGACCAAATTGAGAGTTTAACTAAGAAAATATAAGATTGACATTTTTACTTCATTATTACTTCATTTTTGCCCTTCACACACACTAATCAGTAAGGTAATGCATCATTATTACTAGTATTTTAATTATTAAGATATTTCAATTTTTTTTAATCTCAAATCGTTAAAGATTTCTTAATTATGAATTGGTGGGGAGGCTAAACCCACTCTCCTCATTTACATGGTAAAAAAAAATTTCTTTCAATTTTTTCTTTTTTAAGACCTACTTGATAAAGTTTTTGATATCAATAAAATAAAAAATTAACAATCTTTCATAAAATTCTAAAATTTTCTATTGTTATTCACAACATTTCATGAGAAATTAATTAGTTGGTCTTAAACTAAATAGACCTAAAAGTCTCTCTAAAGAAAGCAAGTCAAAAGAAATGTTAACGGTGCTTACTTAAATTGATACAACCAACCCATTTTTTATTTTCTTATATATATATATATATAGTATTTCTACATCCTCATGATTCCCATTGAAAAAAATAAAAATGAAAAATAAGAAGAACTTTTCAATTTTTTCTATCAAAAAAAACAATATTTGTGTGTTTTCACGCATGTTTAATTATTCCAATTCACAACAACTCATAGGCAGGCGGGACTTGGTCCAAGTCCAACTAAAGCAATTAATTTAAATTCCCTTCACCTCCATTTTCTTCTCCAATTCTGAGCGCCTCCACCCCAATCATGGCCAACCAAAAACTCTCGCCCTCCTTCCTTGTTCTCTTCTTACTCCTTCTCTTCTCTACCGCTATCAGCGCGGCCAACTCCGATTTCTTCTCTAAGAGCCTCTCTCCTTCTTCACTCAAACTCAAGCAACAGAAACTCACCCACCTCCACTTCTACTTCCACGACATACTCTCCGGGCAAAACCCCACTGCCGTCCGGATCGCACAAGCACCAATCACCAATACCTCCACCACCTCCTTTGGCGCCGTGGCTATGATTGACGACCTTTTGACCTTTTCGCCCGACATCAACTCCACCCTGGTAGGAAGAGCTCAAGGGCTTTATGCGTTGTCATCCCAGGAGGAAGCATCCTTAATGATGGCGATGACCTTTTCGTTCTTGGAAGGGAAATATAATGGGAGTGCGCTCAGTGTGTTGGGGCGGAACCCGCCGTTTAACACCGTGAGGGAGATGCCGATTGTCGGCGGCAGCGGGCTTTTCCGGTTTGCTCAAGGATATGCTGAGGCGAGGACTAATACCTTTAATCTCACTACGGGGGATGCTTGCGTTGAATATAATGTTTATGTTCTCCATTACTGATTAATTTATCTGATCATCAGATTGTTGCTTTTGGTCCGGTCAGTTCTGTGTTTTTATGCCTTATTTACATTTTTTTTTTTTTTTGTTCTTTGATGGAGCCTGATTTACTTTGTTTAATATATAATAAGAGTGTCCTCTGTGGGTCCTCCCAAATGTAAGAGTTTGAATTTTTAAATAAAAAATTTTAAATTTGAATTTTGAAATCGGTAGAAATGAGTTTGAAAAGGAGAGTTATTTTTTGTTATATAATTTATTATTAATAAAAAATATATATATATATATTGTTATTCTTAAAATTCTATTAACCACACACTTCATGGCAAAATTGCAACAAAGGTGTACCATCTACTTTTGCAAGAAAAGAAAAAAAAGGACTCGTCAACAAGAAGTTGTTAGAAGAATATCATTTAAAATGTAATGGGTTCGAACAAGACAATGGATAGAAATGAGGGATTAATTCCTGCACAATGAGCTTAAATTTGCCTTGAAAACATGTTAAAAACTTAAGTTAAAATAAACAAGTATTAAGAAAAATTAAATTAAAGTACTGATAATGAAATAAGTTAAGGACAAGTATTGAAAATGAACTAAATAAAGTGTAGAAAATAAAGCTAAACAAAAATTGAAATTACAGGCAGAAAACATAAAATATAGTATAAATCTGGAAAACGTAATAGAAAAATAAAAGACTCTAAGTTTAATTGAAATTGCAGACATGCTTTTAATTAAAATTAAATTGAATGTTTAACAATTGAGAAACTTAACAAAAGCAAATCACAATAATAAGAGAAAGTTATAGGAACTAATCTTATCCAAAAAACTAAATTAACTAAGAACAAGAATCTATTGAGGACACTAATCTACTTCTATTGGACTAAAAACTTTAACAAAAGGCACTGGAAAGTAGTTTAAAATTAAGAGAATGCTAGGCTAGATTGAAGGATGCTTGAAGAACAAAGAGTTTTGAAAGATAAATGATTTGTGTTGAAGGGTAGGCCTATGTGTGTGACTTAATAATATCTTCAAAACTGAAATT